AAATCCAGTCTCTGATGCTTAGCAGTTTTGTGGCTTGGACAGCTATCTTGACCTTGCTAAGCAGCCTCAGTTTCCTCATCTGTGAAATGGAAGAAATAACACCCAGTTTGATGAAATGAGATGATGTGGAGAGTGTAATGAGCCAGTGACTGACCCATAGCAAACACTGAAAGCATTAGTTTCTTTCTCTCTCCCTCCCACAGACACAGGAAGGAAGGTGATTTGGTTCAGGACCAGAAACCAGGACCTCTCCCTGATGAAGCAGTCCCCCATTGTGGGTGGCCACCTATAGCTGCACAGCAATTCCTGGCTTGCCTATGTGACGTGAGGTCCCTGAGAGCCCTTGGGCTGGTGGTGACTATAAGCATTAGGGAATAGACACAGTAGCCCATCTGCTGTGGCCAAATCCCAGCTCTGCCAATACTGGCCATATGACTCTGGATAACATCCTTAACTTCTCTGTGCCTCAGTTTGCCCATCTGTTAAATGGAAATACTAAAATCACCAACCTCGGCAGGTGGTCAAGAGGAATACATGAGTTAAATCTGTAAGTACTTTTAAAAAGGCCCAGCACAGGGCTTGGGTTGTGGCTCAGTGGTGGAGCGCATGCCTAGCACGTGTGAAGCACTGGGTTCGATCCTCAGCACCACATAAAAATAAGTAAATAAAATAAAAGTATTGTGTTCATTTTTTTAAAAAGGCCCAGCACAAATAACACTACACATTTATTTAATAGATATTTGCTGAATACTCCTCTTGGCCCCAGGGTGGCTATGAGGAATGCTATGAATAGATGCTGCCTCTGTTCAATAGGTTAAGTGCACCTTAACCTCAGCCTCACTTCTTCTTTCTGTAGGCTTTTGTCTCCCCAGTACCCTCCTTATTGTCCAGCATCTTTCTTCTCAGGCCTAGCTGAGAGGAAAAGCACTCCCCATGGGAGGAATGTATCTGAGGACAAGCACAGTGTGTAGAGGAAGCGAATGGCCGTCCACGGTCTACACTGAGAGTGTCCCTGAGGAACTGACATTGGTCAAAACATGGGATCCTGTTGGAAGAACTTTGGGCTCATCTTTAGCCTGGTGTCAACCCTTTCTGCTTGGTTGCTGGTGCTGGGAGGCGGAAGGCTCCTGGGACTACAGTGTTAGGAAGAAAGGAGGGCTTTGGGGTCGCTGCCACACCTGTGCTGAGCTGACCAGAGGAGCACAAGGCCAGCCAGGTGCACTAGGCTCTAGACACAAGCATTTCTGTGCTCTCCTCACCAGCCCCAAAGCTGCCCTGCCTCAGCAGTGGCCCAGCAAAAAGGAGGAAGGAAAGGAATCCAACAAAGAAAGGTGCTGTGTTCTGATTCACCCACTGGGGGGAGTATTTTAACCAGAGAAGGCCCAGAGGAGGCACTCAGTGAGGACATTTGTGCTGTGGAGACAGGCAAGCTAGGACTTGTCCAGAGTCGCGCCCATAAGGACCCTCCTGGCAGGGGAACTTGTCACACTTCCTGGAGTACAACCCCGTGCTGTGCTTAAAGGGAATCTCAAAACAAACTTCCACATTAAAGAGCCAGAAAGGGGCCATACATCAAGCGTCTGATCCTGTTTTTAACACTTAGAAATGTGAGAGCTGAGGAGGGAGGAGGGCTGACCTAGGCCATGTGGGTGGGCCAGGGCCAGGTCTCCTGACTTCCTGGCCTTGGCTCTTAGTTGCTCAGATAGACACCATGCACTCAGGCGTGACCTGGGAATGTAGGTATGAACACGTGTGTTTTATTACAAAATAAAATAGTTCGCATGAGAAAACTAATGTTGGCCTAGGGAAAGGAAGAAGTATATAGAGGCTCTACTCCTAGAGCTGGTGGGAGGCCTTGGGGCTCAATGGGGGAGGCACCCTGCCCGCACCCTGGGGCGAGCGTCCTAGGCAGCTTACCCTCGGCTTCACTCCTTCCCCTCGGTCAGCTTTCTGCTCCCAGCCCTCCTTAGGGATGCTTTCCCCCAGCACCAGGCCACCAGTCACTAAGTGGACCTGAGCCTCCCTTGGTTGTTCTTCATATAACTCTACTGGATACAATATTGTGCCTGCGCTACATACATTTTGTTTTTGTTTACCATTATCTCTCCTCTAGGATATAAACTCATGAATTCAGGTTTACAATGTATCTATCCCCTGTACACAGAAGAGTGCCTGTTACTTAGAAGATGCTCCATAAAATTTGTTTAATTGACAAGTGAACGAAAGGCCACGGCTTCCAATCCCCATTCACTCGTAAAATGCAGTTATCATGAAAATCAAATAATAGATACAAACTCGCTTTGCCACCTGTCAAGAATAAACAAATGAAAGGGACTATGTTAAAGGGATATATAAAGGGATTCTTGATGGTGCCCACATAGAAACTGTTAGAAAAACCGGGACCTATGTCATATGTTGTGACAATAATTAAGTACTAATGGCACATAAAAATATACACATCTCAGCAGACACACATAAACTAGGAGTGCGTGCCATCCTGGCTAAGACTGGAAGGAAATAGCTGATTTGCAGAAATGCAAGATTGACCTAGAAATGAATGAAGCTTTCATTGTTTACCAAAGTTGGCGAGCAATAATACAAAGAAAAAACAAAAAATTGGAAAACAAAGAGCAGGCAGAAAAGAAGGCTGGTACATAAATTGTAAACCCCAAAAACCTGCTTCTTCCTAAGGGTGGGACATGAATACAGACCCTTCTACCCACCAATGATGGATGCACAGGGAAACCTGATCCCCCGTTCCAGCATGGCAGGGCTACGCAGTCTCAGGGTTGGGCTGCAAGCCCCAAACAGTCCATGATTTAGGGACGAGAACTTTCCACAAGGGGGCTTTCAATCAGAAGCCAGACTCCAATTCTAAATTAACATTTAAGAATTTTTTCCCTCCGCCTTGTAGTTTTGTCAATTGTAAGTCAATAGGAAATTCAATGAATCCGACTTTCAATGTATCCTGATTTTTCAGCAGCAGAAGAAACACACACACACACACACACACACACACTAAGAAAAGTGAAGCAAATTCTAAATAAAGGTAACCCCGATGAGATTGAGACAACTGGGACCCATTTTGGGAAGCTGACCTCAAAAAGACAAGACATACGGTGTTCCACTCAGGAGTCTTTTCCCCCTTAAGAAGAAAGCAGAGATCTCACATGCTTGCCAATGATCTGGAAAGCTAAGCGTGCCTTGGAATGGTTATGTGCCTTGGCTCCGTCTTTAGAAAGTGTAGAGGCCACACTATTGGCAATCACTGAATGCTCTCAAGGCAATCAAGGACGGGTTTTCAAGGCCCTGGCTTCCTGGTCAAGACATTCTCTCCTCTGCTCGACCGCTCCTGCCTGCAGCAGAGGGCCCTGCCCAATGGGGAGAGGCCGCTGGGCTTTTACTTTCCTTCCAGCCTCTGCAAAGGATGCAGTGACTGATTTTCTAACCCAAAGAAGACAAAAACTTGGCCAGAATTGTAAGGGTCAGGCTCCTCCAAGGAGTGAGAGGATATGACTGGACCACCACGATTAGACCTAAAGAGATTGTCGAGAAGTCACTTCAGAAAAGAGGTGTCTGCAGGGGGCTTGCCTAGGAGAGAGAGGTGAAGCAACAGGAGCCCCAAACTTTCAGGAAGAGTTGAATTCTCAGGCTGGTTGTGGAGTTTTGCAATCTCGGACAAGCTGCTGATCTCTCTGGAGCTCCATCAGTTCATCTGTAAAATGAGCATGAGTCACTTCTGCCCCCAACCACTTGCTGAATTTAAGGAAAGAGTAGGCAGGAAAGAGTCCAGAAACAGTTAACATTGGAGACTGACAAATAGTCATAATAAGGAGTGTTCTACCCCCTGCAGTGAGAATGCAGTATAACAGCTGCTATTTTTGAGTCTGTACTTGGTGCCATGTTTTTCCATCTAAGTGTTCCAAACCTTCTAGTTAAAATTCTCCCCACTTTACACAGTGGGATCTGAGAAGCCGAGAGGGTGAGCGATCCTCCAAAGTCCATCAACTATTAAAAGGCAAAGCAGGGATTTGAACTCTGATGTGTCCAGCTCTGAGAACCTCTAGACCAGAGGTTCTGTAATGAAGAGGAAAGGGGCAAAATGGTGCATTAAGAGTTAACTTAAAACAAAAGAAGTTGATAGCAGAAAATTAAGAGGGTTTCTGAGGGAGACTGCTAAAGCTTTGTTTTATTTAATTTTGAAATGAGGAAGGGTTCTCCTGGCATTGGCAGGACTCAGCAGTGGGGGAGGGTAGTAGGGAAGGAGCTGAGGCCCAAAACAGGTGCGGAGCCTCTGGAGCCCTATGCGTGCAGGGCTGGTGGGAAAGGGTGTCCCTATGTCCCTGGCCTAGGGCCTGAGAAGGCCAAGTGAGCACAGTCAGGGCTGGATTTCCAAGAAGAGTTGCAAAAACAGGTATGGAATGTGATTCCACCTCTGGCCTCTGCTTGGTTCCCGTGTTACAGTGAGAGTTGTAGCGCAGCCAGGAAAGGACAGGTTGCATCCTCCTCCAGTGGAACTCAGCAAGGCGATGACGTGAGTGGCATTTTCATTTTGCATATCCATTTTCTTATTGGCACCATCATCACTTATTTCTCTCTCTAATTATTTTAAATTCCTCCCTCTCTAGTTTCTCTCTCTTCTTTGACTTTTCAAGCCTCCGTATTTCACACGTGCAATTCCTTCCTTCTCTCCTGCCCGCTGCCTCTCCACTATGCTGACACACTGTATCAGTGAATCCCTCAACTGTGTCCTATCTAACTTTTTTTTATTCATTGCATGATTTATTTTTAGCTTGAAACAACTGCATCCTAAAAATGGAGCTCCTAATGAGACAAGGGGTGGGCAGAGCTATGTAAGGTATCTGGGGCTTGGCCTCCCAGCCTCCCTGCCTGGCTCTTTCTTTATGCGCATGTGTGCAAGAGTCTTGGCTCTTTGTCCTGAGCCCAAGATTACACAGCTCCTGGGACCCAAGGAGGTCAGGAGAGATCACCTTCTCTCTGCTCCCTACTTGGCTCACCAAAGCCTTCAAGAGTCTTCCATCCTTTCTCCTGCACACAATATTTTGGGGAAGCAGAAACAAAACTCTTCCCAATGAAGAGAACTCACCTGCTTGTTGTGGGGGTCTATCTACTGTCCTCCTGCAGGGCAGAAGAGGGGCTTAACTTCCCCACCTATGATGGCAAGGACCGGGTGGTGAGCCTTTCTGAGAAGAACTTCAAGCAGATTTTGAAGAAATACGACCTGCTCTGCCTCTACTACCACGAGCCAGTGTCTTCAGATAAGGTGGCGCAGAAACAGTTCCAACTGAAGGAGATTGTGCTGGAGGTGAGTCCACAGGGTGGGCGGAACACCCTGATGTAAACTGGGTGGGGGCGTCTATCCAGGGCTTGGGATGTGGGAATGAGGGTGCAGGGAACGGATACTGAAGTCTGTTGCTTTTTTTTTTTTTTTTTTGTATCCTATAAAATGAAGATGTTCTTGCTGCAAAGCAGGGTGGGGGTGGGGCTGTGAACAAGGAGGGATGGGTCTAAACTCTCAAAGTAGAGGGGACTGAGCATGTGGCACAACACTGGACTGATCTAAAGTTTTCAAATCGTGGTTCTCTTATTCTTGTTATCTCATCCCCTGTTCTTCCAAAAGAATGTTCAAACTATTATTAAAACTGTTGGCTGAAAAATTTGGGGGCTGCTTGTAGGTTTCATTCGACGTTCCAATTCCCCACTCTTTGCTCCCTCAAGTCTCCCCTAGATCCTGCAGAAAGAAGACTCATTCGACCTTGCCTCTCTTCCGGGGTCAGATGGAGAATGTCACTAAATGGTTTTTCTCTCTGATTCGTTTTTAGGCAGCACTACAGAGTGTGGATGTGTGAGCTTCATGTTCATTAATGGGGACTTGTTTCTTTCTCAGAAAGTTCTTGGTGTGAGCTTAGGGAAGATGCTGAAGTCACTTCTTATTTTATCTGCATTACGTGGCCTGCTGGTAACCTGGCACTGGGGCCACTTCCAATCCTTTGCCAGGACCCTAACAACTGTCCTGCAGCACCCCCTGCAGAGCTAAAGACTTTCACCCTTTAAGAGCACCCAGGCTGCCAGGCATCCTAGAAGACACCAAGTGTCCCCCCAGTCCCCAGTCTGTTGAAAGAGCTATTTGATAATTCTAAAGTTGATTAGCCAGTGCAGATAGGGAGCTCAGGTTAATCAAATACCTTGATTAACAGAATTAGCACAGAGAACCCATGTGGGCTTAAATTCTCAAAAAAAAAAGTTACTGACTATAATAAAATTCAGCAAAACTACCCTAAATGCATCCAAATAGGTTGGAAGATTTATAAAGCCCTTCAGAATTCTAAGTGTCTCCTGGTCATCAGAGAGCGCTGGTGTTTTAAAAATATCACCACTACCATCACTACCATTGCATTTTCCCTCAGGCTCCACCCCGGGGGCTGAATGTGCAAGTTCAGTTCTCTCTGGTTTGCAAGGGAAGAGAAAGCAGGGCTGGTGATTAGGTCCTTTGTACTACAGAAATGGGAAAATCACAGGCTGGAAAAGAACAGGACAGGGATCGTGGCTGCTGCTGAGCCCATGAAATCAGCACTTACACTGTCATCTCCATCTCTAACTGCCGTGCTCAATTACTGACAGATATTTTTATGAAAAAGTTAATTGAAGGCATAAGGATTCTACAGTATATGCTCATCACTGTCCAGTTAGCCTAGACCTAGAAACGAATGCCTATAGGTGGCCACACAAGCCATGGCACGCCTTTCTGATTCCCTATCATATTAAATTGTATGTGTGTACATATACATGTGTGTATGACAATATGTGTGATTCCCTATCATGTTTAATTAAACATATGTATATGTGTGTGTGTATATATGTGTATGTATGTATGTATGTGTGTGTGTGTGTGTGTGTATACCCCAAGTCTGTACCTCCCCAACAACTTAAGTTCTGGACCCCCGTTCAAAATCATGAGAAGGGGCTTCCTCTGGGCTCCCCATCCTTCCAGACACCTTTGATCCAAAAGTACATCTTCCTGCATAGGTGCCAGGCCTGGGAGAGACAGATGAAGGGATGTTCAGCACAGGAGCTAGCCTGATATTTCTTAGGCTCCTAGAGCAGTAATAGGGCATGATTAGGGGAACTTGTTGCCAGAGCTCTGGATTTAAGTTCTGGCTTTGCCTCTGTTAGGCACATGACATAGAGAAGGTTACTTAATTTCTTGGAGCCTCATTTTCTTATTGGTAAATATGGAAGAAATAATAACTCTTATACAGGCCTAGGGAAGGTTAATAATAATTAACATTTGTGGACTGCTTACTGTGTGTAGGGACTGTTCAAAGCACTTTGTATGCATTAACTGATTTAATCTTTACAATAAATGTATGAAATAAACACAGTTACTGTCCTCTTCTGTGGATAGGAAAATGGAGGCACAGCTTCCATTTTCCAATTGCCCAATGTCACCCAGCTAGTGCACATAAAGGTAGGCTTAACCCCTACACGGCACAACTCCAGGAGTCCATGAGACAAAGTGCAAGCAGCTGCTGGACACCCCGCAGCCATCTGCCTTAAACAGAGTTGCTCAGCTCGCCTGCATCGCCTTTAGAATCCCATAGCCCTGATCCCCGGCTCATGCAAAAGCCCAAAGCAGGGAGGTGGCCCTACTCCCTTGCAATGGTGCGGGGAGGACATGCCTTCCTGGAGGTACCTGTCAGTTCTTAGTTCTGGTTTTCAGAATCTAGGACAAAAATGGCTCCAGAAATCCCATTGGTGAAATGATAGGGTGGATATGAATGAGCCTTTAAGTTTTCTTCTTGGTCAAAGCAACTCTTCTTAATTCTCTAAACCCCAGATTTACACTATGCAAGATATTCTTCCAGCTCCAGAGCGGGGGCTGTTCAGCATATGGAGGGACAACAGGAGGCCCCAGCTCCCTGTCCACAAGGCAGTGTGGCGTTGGCTATGGCATGGCCACCGAAGAACAGAGGGGGGCTCGTTTCCTCCCAGTGGTGTAGGAAGGTCGCGTCCCATGATGTTATTGTAACCTGGTGTGACTTAGTACATAACACACACACACCTGAAACATGAGTTTCATGGGACAGTACTTACCCTTACTTGGGGCATCCTTGAATTTTTAAAAAATTCTTTTAGATTTTTAGTCTGTTCTATTTTACTTAAAAAAATATTGATCCCAACCTATTAAATTGGATTCATTCTGCCATCTCCAGTTTGAAACACCTGAGTAATGTTTAAGGATTGAAATATAGGGATTAGATGTTCATAACTAATCATGGAAAGGCCATCTGGTTCTGGTAAAAATCCAAAGCTACTATGGTCAGACATATATGATTTGTCCACTGCTCTAAAGCACCACACCAAGGAAAAGACCCAGAAACGCTTCCACCCACAGAGGAGGGGATCACTGCCTAGGAAGGGGCCCTTGAAATGCTGCGTTATTTGTGCATCTGCAGGTTCTCTATGCTGGGCCCTGGTGTAGATGCTGTGGACACAGGGAAAACAACTCAATTGGCTCACAGCCTAATACAGAAGAAGACATGCAAACAAAAGGCCGCAGTGTTGTGGGTTACTAGAACAACAGAGCAATTTAGAGCAGTCCCCCCCTTGCTGATGAGGATACATTCCAAAGACCCTCAGTGGATGCCTAAAATTGCAGATGGTACCTAGACTTACATATACTATGTTTTTTTCCATAGCTATCTGGATACCCATGATAAAGTTTAATTTGTAGATCAGGCACATTAAAAGATTAACAACAATGACTAACAATAAAATAGAACAGTTATGGCAATACACCATAATAAAAGTTATGTGAATGTGGCCTTTCTTTCTCAAAATATCTTATTGTATTGTATTTACTCGTTTTTTTCTTTTCTAATTAACTAAAGAACTTTCACCTTTTTACTTAAAGGAAGCAGTTTATGGCAATTGTTTGATATATAAAAATTGTCAGCAACACTAATCTTGCACCTTGGAGGCATTATTAAGTGAAATAAGGATTACTTGAACACAAGCACTGTGATATTGCTACCACAACAGTCGATCTGATAACTAAAAAGGCTACCAAGTAACTAATGGGCAGGTAAGCCATACAACATGGATACACTGAACAAAGGATTGATTCTCACATCTTGGATAGAATGGAGCAGAATGACACGAGATTTCATCACTGTACTCAGAATGGCACACAATTTAAAACTTATCTGTTGTTTGTTCATGGATTTTTTTTAACTTAATATTTTGGGTTCTCAGTTGAGGGCCAGGAGTAACTGAATCCAGGGGAACTTGAAACCATGGAACTGGAAAACATAGATAAGAGGGACCTGCTGAGTAAGGTTTTCCAGGAGTGCAGAGGAAAGAGGAAGAGCTCCAGTCTTTTGGGGGAGAGGTGGGCATGATAGGGAAGAACTTATTTCATTTCGTGAAATAAGAATTTATTGGGTAGGGGAGAGGACAGAGAGAGCAAAGATTCCAACAACTCTCAACTATTTTTCCACCTGCTAGCTTTTTCCTTCTTTGAGATAAGATTTCTAGCCCTACCTGTCAAGTCCTTCTGGGAGAGGCGGCCCTTTAGGATGTTAGCAATCACGTACACCTCCCTAGGACTGAATCTGAATTCTGTCCTAAAGACAAGGTTTGACAAGAAGAGAGGAAGGGAGAGACTATATCGTCATTAAAAGCTTAGCAGGAAAAGGGCAAGTTCAATGTCACCAGGAGGCACCAAACTCAAACTTTGCCTTCAGATCTGGCCAGGGTCAAGTGTTTGAGGTCCCAGGGTTGGTACATGATATATAGTTCTATATACAGGTGTGTTATACCTGCTTGTTGAGTGAATGCATGGAAAGTCAGAACTCAAAAGAAACTTTGGAATCATCTGGATTGTTTTGAACCCCCCACTTCCTAGATATGGCCTTGACTTTAACAGCTGGTAAGCCAAATTTCTGGTTGGGCCTGCTTCATCGAGAAAATAGCATATGATCTTTAGAAATTTCAGAAAAAGAAGAATAGTAGAAAAGTAGAATAGTAGAAAAGAATAAAGGAAGCCATAGGGGAACTAAAAGTAATCTTCTGATAGATTTCTTTCTGGTATTTTTCAAGAATAAATATACATTTTTGAACTAGGATTATATCATCTATACAGTTTTATTTTCCACATTTAAAATTTCCCTGTATTGGGAGTATGTCATTAGTTTTTTAACCGTTGTACACATAATGTTAATGCTAATATAGTATGCCAGCATATCACCATTCATACTTTAAAAAAAATTTTATTTTAATTTTTTCTGGTACTGGAGATTGAAC